GTCTCATCCGAAGGACGGCGCCTGTTTACAGTATAGTGTCCCCGTCACTATACTGGGGCATTAGGACCCACATGGATTTATTGTAAAAAATAAAACAAAAACATTAACAGTTCCATAAATTGAAATGTTTCTTTTATGATTCGGATCCAGATAATGTTTTTTTTTTTATTTAAGAGTGTGGCAAGCATGGTGTGGCCGAAAATGCATTATTAATATAATCTAATAGGTAGGGAATCTCTGTTTATTAGACAGATTAAATACTGTATTTACTCGAGTACGGATCAAAAAGGCTTACACATTCATGACTGTATCGAAGAACTTGATCTCAGGCTTTCATTTTTCTTTAACTTTGAAGGGCTTCACTTGAACGCCTGGTTATTTCTATACCCTGCTGATTCAATGGAAACATCCGAATGAGTATTTTTTTTGGTATTTACTCAGGATGTCCTGTTCTCAAGACCTACCTTTGAGGTACTTTGTACATGATCATATTATGCAGCATCTCCCCTGAAAGAAGCCACATCAGACCCAGACTTTCTCAGAAAGACAAACGTGAGAGAGATCAGCAGATAAAGACTAACAGGATTTGAGCGGTTTGCAATGATGGAAAGGACAGTGGACAGTGGAAATGTTAAATGGCTGTGCATGTCTCTGAGAGAGAAGATAATAGGAAGTGTGCTACATTCTACAAACCTTACATATGCTATGAGGTGCCCCAATATAGATCAAATGCATAATTAATAGCAGCGAGTATAAAATGTTAGTCTGGTGTTTAAAAACAACAACATGATTTTCATAGGAAAATGAAAAACTCAGCTCCGGGGTAGGTATACTGTACCTTGCGTGCTATTGGCTCTTGACTCACAGTCAGTCCATACCAGCTCACTAACTTATTCCAGCCCTCAGTGGGCACCAGGATGTAGTCCAGCTCATCGATGAGGTGTTCCTTAAGGGCCTGGGAGTCGCCATCTGTACGGCAGAGGGACAAAGATCAGATCTCCATCTTGGCCTAGTCTTCAATTCAGTTCACTGGGTTCATAATCCAAGACAAAGAATTGGGCGGAATTGAGTGGGCACTTGGCACTCATGGGACACATTGAAAAGCACATTATAAGAACGTACCATTACAATGGTAATCTGGGTTCCCCGAAATTGTCACTAGTACCAAAATGGGGTTTCGCCCCCAAATGCACCAGAGGCCCTTACACCACAATCCAGGGAAACAGGTATACAGTACATTGCCCACTCAAGGGCTGCACAGGTTCAGATGCTGGCGCACCTCTGATTGTCCACCTCTTTCCCAGTTCCCTCTGTTCTGGATGCACAGAGAGGGAGGGTTTAAACATTCTCTCGGGCATTGCTTTTGTGCATTCACCTAGCCTGGAAGGTGTTAATGCCTTTATACAAGTTACTGAGCACCAGTTAGTGTCCTCTGCTCAGTCCACCTTGTTAAATCCTTTCCCCACTGTATAAAACGTCACTCACACTTAACAGGTAATGGGGGACTCCCCTCCAACAACACCAGTATGTAGCCCCACCTGGATGATGCAACAGCAGCCAAACTGCATCAAGATGCGCCCCACACATCAGCTCTCAAGGGGAGGAGAACAGAGTGATGAAGCCAGATCAGAGGTGGGGATTATTAGGAGACCAGGATTGTTAAAAGCCAGTGGGAAATTTGGCCAGGACACCGGGACAACACCCCTACTCTTTCGAGACAAAACAGTCAGAACCTCAGTTTGACGTCTCATCTGAAGGACAACACCTTTTTTACTGTACAGTATCCCCATCACTACACTGGGGCATTAGGACCCACACAAACCACAGGGTGAGCACCCCCTACTGGTGCCACTAACTCCTCTTCCAGCAGCAAATTTAGTATACATTACCATGTTGTATTGGTCAGCGATTACTCCAATAATGCATGAAGTGTGTCTCCACCTGCCTGCAAAGTAACTAACTCGTTAACTAACTCATAAAGGTAATTTTGCGCACCAAAATTCATTTAGGGTGGTCATAGCAAGAAGCTCGAATACTTACGAAGTCATACCCTTTCCATTTTTCATCCAAGTTAAAGATTTACTTCTTTGTTCGTGAATGTGCGGACTAGATTGGATATATAAGAAATATTCTCACTTCAAAGAGTCGTGACCGCAAGATTTCAAAGCAACAAAACGTGAACACTGTCAGAATACTCCTGCAAGGCACTGTTTAAACACACTAGGCCACACGGCTAATTGGGAAGCACATCTCTGAGGTAGCCGGGAAAAGAACCGAAAGCATGATGTACCTTTGAGGAGGCCAGAGTTGTCAACGGGGCCAGGATATACATTCTGTTCTCCCATCTGGTATTTGTCCCAGCTGTCGAAACCAACATATTTCTTCCACTGCTTGAACCAGCGGCTATCTACTAAATACCTGTTAAAAAAAAACACAACATACTTTTAAGTATTATACATTATTTTTTCCGAATATTACTTTGCTTGTTGAATATATTCGTTCAGCAACAGGATACTTAACCCTCCTCCTTCATGGTACCGTATGGACATCCTCCTTATCGTGCCGAAAAATCTAAAGATAGATACCAGTAAGAGCAAACTATGTTCTCTCTTATGGCTAGTAGTCCTCTCATTGTGCCACACTTTGATGAACACTGCACTTTATGTGCGTCCAAGTTAAACATAATCTGAGTTGAGATTTGGATTTCACATCCAAACAAACGATGTCTAGCTTTTCAAGGCGGTAAAAAAGTTAATTGCTGTCTCCCTCAGACTAGTTCAGCTCAGAGAACCAGTTTATTTCATTGAGCCCAGAAATGGCTCATGTCACGCTCTTCTTAAAGAAACATATCATTGCCACTGCGAAGAAATGATTCTACCGGTTTTAAGCAGATTGCCTGCATCAAACAGCTTGACTGTGCAAATTCCCCAGTCTATTGATTTTCAAAAGTCGCAGCAAATTTGGAGAATGTTAGGCAAAGCTCTGCACCTTAGCTCTTAACACTGATTGGTTAAACTACCCTTGTCATAATGCTTACAGCACAATTTCAATTGGCATACCAGTAACTGGTATGACCACTGAAGAAGGAATTTTAACTGATTTTACTTGCTCTTATTGCATCAAACATGTATTTTATGCAACTCCATGGCCTTTGCTTTAGGTGTTATGTGCAATACTCTATGAACAAGAATTGCTTCTGAAAATAATTCATAAAGCTATTACTGTATGTTTGGAGTACATCAGCCTAAAGGTATACGAAAACAGAGGAATTTTCAGCAGCCAGAGTTTTTGTCTCTGAGATACAGTAATCACATTTTCACAGGGAGTCAAGAAAAATATGTAAGGCTTGAAATAAGCAATCAAAAGTATCCAAAATGGAAAAAGTCAAGTACCACACATATATACAGTACTGTACATACACATCCCCACTTACAAGTCACATTCTGTGTGTATAGCTTCCAGCACATGTTGTTTCCCTGTGGCTGTACAGTATGTGGTTCAGATGTTTACATGAAAAGTGTCCTTTTCTCAAATGCACAACCATGAAAGTAAGGAAATTAACTCCAGGATAGGCTGAGGCTGCTTCAGGTCACAGAAAAATGATGCCTTTATTTGTAGCATTAAATCCCTTCTATATGTTAATAGATTGAAAAAGTTTTTTTTCCCCTTTTTTACAAAAACCACAGCCACGAAGAACCACAGAAGCAGCTGGATTAGATCATAGGCTTGTAGAATGAGGCTTCCCTGTGCTTACTGAACTACAGTACACTGGAGATACAGCCCTGACTGCACTAACTGCTGATCAGGAAATAAAGCTCCAATGCCTTCTATGACAGATGATGAGATCATCAGAATCAATACTACTTGAGTTACTAATTAGCTGTACTTAATCTCTTTCAGTTAGCTGCTCTTTCAAGGCATGAGGTCTGCAGTTGTACAGATCTGAAAACTCCTCATCTTTTCTTAAAGTATAAATGACCATGATGGTAGCTGTAAAAGGTGTGGATTTAACAGCAGCCGGTACAAACATTAGTCAGTGAATGATCATTTACCCAGGAACAGTTTGCGCCCAGGAATGATGTGTTGGGTTTGCACTAGACATAATGGTCAGCTGCTGGATCACAAAACCTTTTGCCCCATGTTTGCAGGAACATGCTCTGCTGAGATGGTTCTGCCACTCTATCAAACTGGCCAGATCTGTGGAGGGACTAGGATATGGAAACCCATGGACGTTTTGTCTCATCTCAGCCCCTGAACTCTGTAGCTCTTCCAAGGCTGTCGGTGGCTCACCCTGCCACCCAGTGATCCTGCATTATACAATACAGGATCACTGGGTAACCAATACCTAACCTGACAAGCAACAGGTGTGGGGCAGGGTACACCTTGGATGGGACACACACACACACACACACGCACACACCAGGGCCAGTTTTCTCAGAAGGCGCAGTCTTTGGGCTGCGGGAGAGAACTGGAGCACTCACAGGAAAAACCCACATGAGCATGTGGAGAACATACTACCTCCACACAGATAGAACCTTTGGAATTGAACCCAGGGCTCCATACAGCCATGCCAGCTACTGGCTCACCATGCTGACCCTCCATTCAACCAACTGTAGAGAAATTAATGTGTGCACTTGACCCAAATGAGGTTTGCCACGGCAAAGAGTGTGAATACTTATTCAATCAATACATTTTTTTTTGTTTTTGATTTTTCTTTGCACCTTTTACTGACATTTATTTTTTTTAGCTCACATATTTGAGCAGTCTAGATCAGACATACTGAAATACTGTCTTTAAAACAACATGCATCCATAATTTGTAATTCAAATAAATAGGAAGGGAGAAAGGAGGGGGTGAATAATTTTGCAAGGCAGGCTTTCCCACCACTGACAGCAAAATGTGCCCTAATAATAAGACTGCAGAAGAGCTCAAATGTAATGAACTGAACTTTCTGAACTGAACAGTTCTATTAAGATTATGTTCAAAGGATCACAAATAAACACAGTATTTGAAACACCCAGGAAGTTCTAAAATCGTATGGATTATACACAGTGTTCAGAAATATCATTAAAAAGTATTTAATACAAACGAAAATGACTTTTTTGGATGTATTTGCCCAACTCAAAACACACTAAGGCTGCCCCTTTCGGTATTCCAACTCGATATTTTCAATTCGGAATCTGCACTTTCATACTGACCATGTGCGACCTGTCAGTCAAAATACAAAACTCGGCACAGATCCACAACTGTGCAGAACCGATGACAATTACAAAAATCTCCACCTGCGATGCGTACTTGACGAGCGCTTCTAATTTGATAGCTTCTGAGAAGGAATTAGGGAAAGACACATACGCACAAATGTAGAAACTCGCTACAGTAGCTCGTATTTATCTCCTAGAACACAATGAATGACCAGCAAGCCGCAGCCTTCGTGGGAACAGATGGACAATCGAGCACCCTGTTCTGAAGCTTTCCTGAAACGGGGCACACGTTTTTCATCATGCAGGTCGTCGGACCAAGTGTGCGTTTTATGCTTATTGGTGACACTTGTAGATCCGATTGCGAAGTATTTCTGACAGGTGGCTGCCCTCGGCTCTCCGCCTCGCTCCTGCAGAAGGCGAGCAAGCTGATTCACTTCAAGAACCTATTTTAATCTCACCGGCCTCTCTCTGACAGCTACGGAGCCCCCAAACAGCAATCACGTAAGGGAAACTAACATGTCACTCGGTGGCATTCCAAATGTGAACGACAAGGACTTTTTCACACCGGAGAAGTCCTAAAAGTGCCGGTCGCACTGTTCCCACAGCTAATCAGCTCCAGTGAGCCTCTTAAATGTCTGAGAACAGGGGCCATGCTTGCGGGTTTCCCACGGCCCCGTTGAGATGACAGCCCGTGCCACTGCTGTCTATCGCAAGCCACAGGGCTCCCATACAGCAACAGCCCCCTCTTACCAAGTGTCTCCCTTCCGCAGCTGTGTTTTCAGCAGCGCCGCGATCTCAGCTCGCTGGGTTTCTAGATCAGCCGCTCCGCCCTCGGCCATCTTTCCCTAGCAGAGCCCCGCTGCATCATGGGAAGGTCGACGTCACTGGCGTACGTAAGGCGGAAGGGGCTTGGAGGTTCGTGATCAATCTGCGACGGGGCTCTTGCAGGCAGTGACCCAGGGTGTGGAAAGTTGAAGTTGTGCGTACTTGATTTGTAAATCTTGATCACAGAGGAATCCTGTTAGCCGAATGTCCGTCACAACTTAATCTAAAAGTCTCCGAGAACATTTTGATGCAGTAAAAAATTGAACACCCCGCAGGGCGTTGAAATAGTTTAAAATTAAATGGAATATCGCAAAACAGCTCTGAAGCCCCTCCTAAAAACATTAGTGAAGAGTGGCTGAACCGCTCAGCGAAGCCCAAACGAAGATTCACCTCCACCTAGTGCTAGAAAAGGGCATAACATAGGTCTAGTCAAGCCATTACAATCCACAAGAAAACTGATATTGGGTTGTGGCAAAATATTCAGACCCTCATACTGGTGAATTTCATGCCTTCTTAAATAACCACCAGGTGTTTGACAACATTCCTTATTAATATACTACTTTGCAGCCCCAAAATGTCTCTTTGGTGAATTGAAAGGGGGCTAAACTTCACATTTAGAAAGTATACAGCTACTAAACCTTTAGCTGTTGTAATTCTTTTGATTTATGAATGCAAAAGCAACACAATTCAATTGTTAAGCGAATGCTTTGTATGCCAACTACAATTATTCGCGAATGTTTCTACAGTCCCACTGAGGGGTATGAGTTTCTGAGTTGATGGGCAATGACTATTTCAACCCAGCAGTAGGAATCACTAAGTGACACCATAAGTCTACCATAATGTAGTCATATGGTAATTGTAAGTAGTATATACAATATTAAATACCAGATAATATTAAGGTATTTTTCAGGGTGCAGTGGTCAGTGTTGCTGCCTGAATTCTATTCCGCACCTGGGGTCCCATCTGTGTGGAGTTTGTATGGTCACCCCGTGTTCGCATGAGTTTCCTCTAGGTGCTCAAGTTTCCTCAAGTTGTATTGGGTATTTAATCGGCTTCTGGGAAAACTGGTCCCGGTGTGAATGTGCATGTGAGACTGGTTGTGGTTGTGTCTGTTTGTGCCCTGCAGTGGATGGACATCCCATCCAGGATGTACTGTATCCTGCCTTTTGCCCGATGCTTGCTCTGATAGGCTCCGGTTTCCCCATGACCCTGAATTGGGAGATGCAGTTAGAAAATGGATTGATGGATTAAAGTATTTTCTTTTAGAATATTGCTCATCACAATTTTGTTATCCATCCCTGCTTTCTTCTGTTTTCTAAACTCCTTTATCCAGTACAAGGCCACAGGGGAAAGCAGAGTAAAACCCATAAACAGTTTTTGATGTTGATTATTTCTGCTCCATTTTTATTTGCTAAACTACAGTAGATTATTTTCAAAGCATCATGGATCAAGCTAAGAATGTATTTCACTTTGAGGTTACTTCACCAGCTCCACGTATAACAGCAGTTTATGTCCCACAGACATGTTACCTGTCAATGTATACTGATGGAAAAAAGAAACGCAACATTTTCTGGAATGAGAATACTGTAACGCATACGGCCACCATTGCAGGTTGTGCGAGCCGGCTTACTGGCGCGGTGACGTCACCGCCCTTCCCTGTGAATAGCAGGGACCACAGCCGTCGGGGTAACAGGAGATTTCCCTTTAGCTCAACTGGCTGGGTCCCTGTTGAGTGATGCTGGAGGCCCGGGTTTGAGTCCCCAACGGTGGGGGGCCGACCTGAGTTGGCAGCGGCGAGGGCGCATACCCCCGTGAACCCGAGAGTGCTACAATACTATAGTTATAGCTTATATCCTTTCACAAAAAGTTGCCAATTTGTTTTAAGCCCTCTGACCAGCAATACAGCTTGTGCAGTGAGGCATTGCAACTTGCCAATCACACGAAAGCTCGTTAGGTGCACTTTTACCCAACAAGGTCCAGGTGGAACAATGCCCGATCAGATCACCTTTAAAAAGGCATTAATTCAAAGCTTAGGTCACTGCAAGAAAAGGGCCACACTCAGTCAGTTTTCTGTGAATTCCATAATGCCTCGAATGTCACCAGAAGCAAGGGAGAGGGACATTGGCATGCTGCAGGCTGGCATGTCATGTGGCATCGTTGCCAGACACTATGGAGTAAGCCGCTCCACTGTGTCCCGACTGCAGAGAAGGTCTCAGCAGACCAGCAGGACAGATGACCATCCCAAGATCCGGTCGCCCTCGAGTGACCACACCAGAGCAGGACCGACACTTCAGACTGGTCCATCTGAGAGATCGTTTCAGATCTGCCACCCATACTGCTGCTGAAACTACTGGCAGACACAATGCCCGCATCAGTGACAGGACAGTGAGGCTCCATGCTCCTGGTCTTGGAGCAAGGCGACCTGTCAGAGGCCCTCTGCTCACACCTCCTAGACGTCACACCCGACTGGCCTGGGCCAGACAGAGGCTGCAATGGACTCGTCAGCAGTGGCATCAGGTCCTCTTCACGGATGAGTCACTCTTCAGCCTGTTCCATGCAGACGGGAGGACCAGAGTGTGGAGGAGGAGGTGTTGCTTTTCTTTTTGCCATCAGTATATATCTAATTTGTTTTGCAAGCTTACATAAAAGTCTGTTACTTTTAACCTTTTTAGGTTTTGCTATTAATTTAAGGAAATGTGTCGCAGAACCTACTCAGAAGCAAACAGCTACGAAAAGCTACCTGGAATTGTGTTTTTACGACGACTTATGTCACTTATTCTTATTCTAATTATTTTGAGTTGCAAATGTGTACTACTGTTGAAAACAGAGCAGGGTGTGGGAGGAGACGAAGCCAAACAAAATTCCACACACAATGAGTTGTTTTTAGAAATACATTTGTACATCTGCATAGTTTTCATTACACACTGTACAAATTCACAACACTGAATTTGTCATAATTATTCTGTTACAAAAATTAGTACAGAGTGCTATGCCAAAGAGAAATAAAATTAATCAACAGAGTTAATGACAATGGTGATTTTCACATTGAAAAGTTAAATAGGTAACTAAGTACACGAACTGGAAGAAGAATGTATAAGAAATTATTTTCCTAAAATCTGCATTTACACTTTTCTAAAATACAAGACCCATTTGTGCACAATTTTGTAAAGATAAGTTTGTAAAATTATAGAAAACCAAATCACTTGGAACTTTCCACAGGATATATCCACAGTGCCAAGATACAGTAGAGTGTGGGAGTCTGCAACTGTCCTAGTTAAATCATTATTTTATTTTAGTTTTTATATATAATATTCAAATATGTTTTATCTCTATCATACTGTAGATGTTGCTGTAAGCTTTTTGAATACTCTCCTCTTCAGGTGCAGATTACTATTTTGAATAGTAATAGGATGAAGGGGAGATCAGGTTTTATTTTTAATGTTTCCAAAACAATAAAAATCCATTAAAAAAGCAACTAATGCATTTGTTTTCTTTTCCTTTGCAAATTAATCATAAAAAATACTGACTGCTCTTAACACTCCCAAACACACCTTTTCTGGGATTTTGGCTTTGTTATTGTTTGACTACATTGTACAATATTAACTATCAGTAAGCAATGCCAATTAAGATAATACATTATTGTAAACAATCATGTCTTTTTTTCAGTTGACTTTTCTGTGTGCGTTTAACTATGTACATTGATCCTCTGCACAATACTCAGAAACAGACACAAGAGATCATCGAACTAATTTCCAGTTTAATATATACCGTAGTATTAGTTTGAAATATCTATTAGAACTTTTTGAACTTTCTATCACTATATATTAATAAGGTAAATACGTAGTAATGAAACGAGTTTGGATAAAGGAAGCTAGTGAAGTCAACTTCCTGCTGAGGATATGACTTTGGGGCAGCACCATAGCACAGTGATTAGCATTGCTGCCTTGCAGTGCTGTGGCTCTGGGTTAAATTCCTGGAATGCTATCTGTGTGGAGTTCTTATGTTCTTCTCTTGTTTTGTGTGGTGTTCCTCCGGGTGCTCCGGCTTACCCCCACAGTTGAAAGACATGCTGGTAGGTTAAATGGCTTCTGGGAAAACTGGAAAAAATTGTGCTTGTGTGTGTCTGTGTCTGCCCTGCATTGGACTGGAAAGGTAAAGAAAAGAAATACAACATTTCCCACTGTAGAGCCTTCTTCAGGTCTTTAACATCATTTGGGTAGTGTAGTATTTCCTATACTACTCTTCCTTAACTTCTGTAACATTTGCAACAGCTGTTGCTGGTAAGACCTAAAGTAACCTTATAACCTAAAAACAATAAGAACACATAACACAAAAACTATACCTTCTGTATATTTTTCAAACATTACTGGTCGAATGACAGTACTGCCTAGCTATGAAATGAAGCTGAATAAAGGACAAGAAAAGATTTCAGCAAACCAGACAGCTCCCAAAACTATTGAAAACCGGTGTGTGAACTCGTCAGTGTGGTTAACAAAAAACACATAAGCTGAAGTAACAAAAGAGATATATTCACAGGTAACTGAGCAAAACCTGTGATCCTAAACATTGACGATTAAATTTAATTTGAGAGAATCCACACAGGATGTTTCCTTTGTAATGCATAATCATCGTGCTCATGTACTGTTATTAGTGTTGATTAATATTTCTTGATATCACCACACTGTTAATGATATTCACTTAAAAATTAACAATGTTTAACGTTAGTTTGCACTGAAACCCTGCTCAGCTAGCCACAGAAATGTCATTTCTTTGCTTCGTGCTGATGAGGGTGCTTTCAAGGCTGGTCATGTTTTGTACAGTACATCACCAAATACAATATACAGTAAAGCAATTCGCTACAGTTTTGTCACAAACTGTCCCCACTTCACATTTCAAAAGGTTCCTTTCCCAACTAAAGTCAAAGTGTAAAAAAAAATCCATTGCCGCGTCATGGAACACTTTTGGACAATTTTGCAAGCCCGATTTCCAAAATGTGTGCATTTTCTGTGAGGAGGCCTTGAATTAATCAGGGTGAAGGCCCTGATGTGGGTATTACACACAACGCCCAGCCGAACAGAGTAGGACTTTGTAAACCGAACCAACTTCCTGCCACTGAAAAGGCACGCTGGCCTAGGTGTGGAAGAGGAGGTATGGGAAAGCAACGACGCTGATTTGAATAGAAAATCAACTCATTCAATCCATGTGCCTCTTACCCTCTAAGGTCTTTTTCACAGCCAGAAGATAGTCAAAGAGGTTAAACTGCATTCAAAGCCTCGGTCCAGCAAAGGGTTTCATTTGCTCAGTGAGATTGAATGAAGGCCTGGCATTGGTGCCAACAACATCAATCTTGCTTCCATTAATCTTGGCCAGACCTTCAGATCTGGTAGTTCACAATTAAAAGATCAACAGGAAAAGGCAGTAGACCTACTGATTCGGGAAGAATGCTGTGGTTTACAGTTTTTTTTTTCTCCAGTAATTCATCAAACAAAAGCTATCCTCAAGGTTCCATCTTGCTTACTGAGCTTAAGGTACTTATGAACCCAGGGCTGCAGTCATAATTGAATTGAACCTGTCAGCTGTGTCTTCTATTCTATGTTTGATTTTTTTTTAAAAGCACAGATGTTTCATTTTTTATTCTATTACGTAGGTCTCCCATAGTATATGAAATATAATAAATATTATTTTTATTTTTTTTTAGCGATTTTGCAATATTGCTACTTCTTTGATTTGCTAGGCATAAAACATTCTTGTTTTTTGTACAGTATTTTAAAATCCTGGTTTTCAGCATGGTAGCAAATATCGCAAATCAGCACTTTTCTATTGGAATTTAATAGAATTATCATTTCATCATTCAATTCTTTTCAGAATTTTACATTCTAAACTACGAATGCTGGACAACTGGAATTCATTGTTACCCATGGTTGGGTAGGCAACAGTGGAATTGATTTTTAAAACACTTTCAGTGGAGTGTCAAAGCTTTGAATGAAAGTAAATGTCCGAGCACAACTTCAGGAACAGATATACAGTACAAGGAGTTCACATTATCACTGTCAAACATCCTGATAACACCTTTTCTGTACAAAACTACTAAAAAAGAGGCTGTCTTACTAAACACAGAGGCTCATTATCTTGAGACATTTATGAACCAGACAAGGAGTTGGCAAGTAAAAGAGCTTGGATCAAAATGCTGTTCTACATTTATAGTACTATTTCACTGGATGTTCTGAATTGAACACATTGGTGCATCCATGCAGTAATTCTATGGTTAAATATGCACTGGCTTGCGAACTTACATATGCTTGTTTCTTTAAAAAAAAGTTTCAATAATCATCTTCCTAACCTTAGTAATTTGTTCTTGGTATGATAACCAAAAGGATAAGTAATTAATAAAATAATGATGTTAATAAAAGTAGTTAACAAGTAGTTATGCATTAGAAAGTCTTCAGAGAAATTGAACAACATAAAAACCCAGGGACCTCCCAGAATTCACTGCAACCATGCAAGAACAATACCAGACATCTGTGTGGAAGTTTCAAGTTTCAAATGGCCAAGTGGCCAAGTTTTGGCAGAATTGAAAGTGGTACCTACAGTAGACTTCCTCTCTAACCTGAATATTGTATGTGCATATTTGATCATGGGACTGTTTGGGAATCTCGTATTTGTCTCTGCAACAGCCAGTGGTACATTCTGACACATGTCCACACGTGTCAGTGAAGTCAACAAGTATCAACAGAGTATTATGTGTTGCATGTTGCTGTTATTTTATTTTTTGCACACAGCTGCTCTGATTTTCAGTACACTATGTCCAGGGTTCAGAACAATTTCAGTGCTCTTGCTTAGATGGTTGTTTGCCATGTCAGTTAACAATGCCAGTGGATTCAGTAGACTCAGGCAACCTATAGCTAATCAAAAAAAAAATTAAGCCATGACTACCATGTCTGTGGATTTGTAGACACTGTCCTGTTCGTATGTGCTTTCCTTCTCTCTTTACATTTTCTTAAGGAATCTTTTCAAAGCCATTTTACTGGGACTGGCAAGCAACAAAAATTGCACAACAAAATGAAAAATACAGATCCTGCCAGTCACAAAACCTTTACAACAATGTTAAGCTGAAAGTATCAGTTAATATTTTGGGATGATATTTAAGAGCCCCTTTTAATAGACCCTCCCCCCCAAAGGGCATAAACATCATATTATAAAACAGCTTTTCAAAGACAGATAGAACTATGCAACAAGAAAATATTTATCATTCCTTAATATTACAGTATGCATCATGAACCTTTCCTTCATTGTGCAAGAGTATTAGGAGTATTTTATTTAAAAAAAGAATTTTGCAAAATTATATTCAATGCACATTTCTCATAACAGCAGGGAACTAAAATTATACTTATGTTGTAAATGCACAGGTGAACACTGCTATTAGATGATTATAATTTGGTTTGTGTTATTAACATAAACGTTCTTCCCTATGTCTCATAGATTTATTATTCTGTTCTGTGGTTTTGAAAAATTACTCTAATGAACATTCTACTAAGCTACGTCTACTTAGTTCTTAATTCTACTGTCATTTTGAAGGTGGCAATGTAAATAATATAATTTCTTAAACATTCCATTGTACTAATAAACAACTTCCCTTTTATGAAGCATAATTTACAGATAAAATCCCTCTCCCATTCATCAGTTTGGAAAAGCTGTCCTCAGCAGAGAAAACTTGGTTCATTACAGCTACACTCTCACACTGACTTTACACTCTCTTGGAGGAAGGGTACCTAGTAATAACCCTAGTTCACACACATGCATGGAGCTTTTGGGGGACTTTGTACATTTTGAAATCGACGGACACTTTTGTTTATTTTGAAATGTGATATAAACCTCACTTTCAACTGCAGACAGACAGCTGGGGGTTTGCAAACAGGAAAACTGGAACATAAGTCACAATGTTTATTTTATTTTGAGGGACAAGCCTAAGACCTTTCAGCGTGTCAACAAAACAACACATTAGGTCCTGTGTTGGCAAGCCAGACACCTGTTCTTCATTAAAACAGCGCTGTGCTGTTTGTTGCAAACGTGATGAACTGAACTAGCCCTCATGGACTGCCTGTTCATTTGCTCCGAAAATGCATGCAAAGTCAGGCAAATGCTTCTTTTTGAAAGTGTCTCTTTCTTGAATTGACTATAAAGTTTGAGATCCACAGCCTTCAGTAGTTCTGCGGGTGAAGAAATGGGGCTGAATTCATTTGAGTTGGCACAAAAAATGTTAAAATCCCAGCGCTCACATTTGTAGATCTATTTGTCACATACTGTATGATGTCTCTTATTGAAATTCTATCATCATAGCATATGTTCATAGCAGTGTGTGGACTAGCCTATAGCTTGATCAGTCAGTGACCTGTGTCAATTAAAAGGGACACAGACACTAGATTTCTACTTACTGTTTTACAGAGAAAGTGAAGTAGCTCATGCAAAACATTAACCCGCTAAATCACATATCTGAAGTGGAAAATATATTTTTTTGTTGTTTTGTACAAATGCTGCAATTGAACCACATCCCTGTTTCTGATCAGTGGTTATAGTCACACAATCTAAGACAAGCAAAGACTTTTGCATGGAACTTGAGAACTGTGCTGATAAATTCTTCATTTCAGGGGCATTTGGAGGTGATAAATTCCCAATAAGAAAAGGAGTAAATCTTTCACTCAATAATCACCATGCCCTGTTCTGTTACTGCAGTTCCTTGTATTTTGCACAAGGTCAATGAACAATGTGCAGTAGCCTAACTTATTCCTTCAGTAGAACTCATGCAGGTACAGTAGGTGTTTTGTATGGGTTGCAGTTTCACATTGCTTCATTGGTCTAAAGCTCCATGCTTGTAGGTACTCCTGCCTCTAAGCTACACTTTCAAGAATATCTTGCCTGACCAATGCCAATTTTGGGACATGGGAGAAGTATGTTGCTCCTCCTCTCTGTTAAACGGAGACATGAAAGCAGGTAGAAGAGATGAAAAACTCAAAGGAGCGTGACTGATAACAAGAAATTGCATTCATTGTTTATATATACATTTTATATATACATGTGTTTTTACATAAACATTCTGTAAAAGTAAAACTAATGAAACAGTAAACACATCAGATTTGATGCTGCTTTCTGTGTACTCCAAACTCAAGAAATTCAGAAAATGCTCCAAAATGCATAGTTTGGATTTTTTAAACTAGAGTAGGTAGTTCATCCAAGTTGAGGCAGTGACTTTCAGTCTTACCCATCAGATAAATACCTGGTGAGTCACAGGGTAGAGGTGTTAAAGTAAAGTATTAGCTGTGAGTACCTTAAAGGCAGGTTCTTCTATGTTCAAACTAGCTTTCTTTGACTGTAGTGAGTGTGTTACCTAGCTAAGAGATGTCTCAATTTTAATGAAATGAATTATGGAGTAAGCAGAAGCTGGCTTGTTAGGAAGAAATTAGACGGTGTTGGGGGAGTTTGTTTTAGGTTTTCAATTACAACTCCAATATTAATGAACAATGCCAGATGGAGTGGTCACAAGATATTAATTAATGGCATAGACATAGCTAGCTGAGAGCCTTGGAAGAATGAGATGAGGTTATACAAACATCCCTGGAATATACCAGCACACAGTAAATAGGTATTCTGGGATTTGACAAGGCTAGATCCAGATAGCAAATACTCCAAGATTTTCACTAAGTCAGTTCTTAAGGAAGGTTCAGTGGTTGTGGCGGTCTGTTCCATCTGTACGCAGTAGCTCCAGGTTACAGTGATAAATTTTAAAAATGCACTTTAAAATGATTAAAGTGCATTTTAAACAACCTTCCTTCCATATTTTTAGAACATTATAAAAAATCTGGGGAAGTTTATTTTCGTGTTGTTGTTTTTGACTGTCGGGTGTAAGTGGTCCCTCTGTGTGTAAATACAATATGACTCACATTGCAGTCAAATGATGTGGCAAACTTAATAACCTCCTGTTGATGAGTTACTGTATGTGGCTGATATACTGTAGCAGAGCTGCTTTCTAAGCTTCAGATGACCTTCTCTCCTTATGAAGAAGATAACGACTGCACCAGCACTGTCACCATATCAAATCCACACTGCCCACCATATTTGAGAAAAGAATTATCAGGTTTCTCACAGGTGAAATGGCATAATAAATGTTGAAAGCAATGAATGGGAGAGAGTTATTGCACAGGGCAGCTCTTGTAGTGTAGCACTGATTAAACTGTAAATTTACTGAACTATCACTGTTGTACTGTATTCTTTGTTTTTGGTTTACCTGTCTGTGTTGTGCTGTTGTGTTGGACCCTGCCCAAAAACATTGCCCTAAGGGATAATAAAGCTTGAATTGAATTCAAGCAAACATTCTGCTTTGTGCAGTAAAACGTCAATCCTTCATGCTAAGGCACATTTAATTTCTTTCCAGACAAGTGCATTTGCTAGAATTCGTTATAATGGACTACTCATCCTCAAGCAGTGGTCAGGTGATGGGCACCTGTGCATTTTGGTACTGAATGATGTCCATTTTATCAAGGTGCAACCTTTGGACGGTTTGCCATTATCACAGTCACTGGGTTGCCCGGCTAAGCAACACTCTAATCAAGGTACCATGTTTGAAGAGCTATAGTTCTAAAAGATCTGTGCACCATTAATGACTCAAGCTGAGCAAAAGAGATATTCTAGAGGGGATTCTAGATCTTAACCTTCACTATCTTGAGAAAATACTTTCCATATGTGTCTAAGAGGGACACTCCAACTGTATACTATAGCTTTGTTGCCCGGACTTGTTACTCCATTGGTAGACTTGTGGACTATTGTACTACACGGTCGGGCCATAGAAAGGCACTTGTCACAGGCTCCACCTGTGTTTGTCTGACCGTTTCTCCCCATAGTCCATTTCTAAATCAGTTAAAGAGGAAAGAGAGGTTATCTAACCTCTAGAAAGGCTGGGATTCTGGGTTGGGATATCTTTTTCTACTTTCTTCTTTTTAAAACCTGCCCAGAAGCTAGTCTTCTCCTACTGAGACTTCCCAGAACCCAATAGTACCACATAGTACCCAGTCTGCTACGGACGCAAGATGGGCCTTATTCAGCATCTGTTTTAAAAACTGTTTTAAAAACTGTTTCAGGATTGCGATACACCAACCTAGAAGTGCCTCCAGTCAGAGAGCATAAAAGAGATAATCCCTGTAACACATGGAATCCGTGCAAAATGTGAGCATGAGATGTACAGGGATTGTTTACATTCTCTCACTCTTGTAACAGCTTCCTCTGGACTGGGATACTGGACCAGGTGGCTAGAATTAGGATATTCGCTTTGAATTCTGAAAAGGGAAGAATTCAGGCAATGTGAGAGAACACGCTAGGGTACATCAGCAAGGAGGGACACAAGAAAACAGACAGTGGAGTCATCTAAATAGAAAAGTTTAAAACAAAGTTGTTTTGCCTGGTGTTTTTTTTTTAGCTTTTGTTTAAAAAAAAAACTTGGTTTTGGGGAGCAACCGGGTGATTTAAAGCTCCTGCTCTTTCGACATCCGGAAAGCTTATTTTAAGCCTTTGCTCCTGAACTGCGGTCAAAGTGAAAATCTCACGTGATTTTCTTTTCTTGTTGCCTGATTACTGAGTTGGCTGATTCAGCCTAAACAGTAAAATATCCGTTCCTGCTTACTCCTGATTTTTTAAAACTGTTTTTAAGATGTCCTTGGCTTTTGAGATATTTGCTTAAATTGGAGATTCTTATTTACTTCTGTTTTTCCATTATTTACAATTTTGTGGATTCTTACATGCTATATACAGTAGAAATGAAATATACACTGCCACTTTTTTCTAGATATTGGAATTTCATATTGGAATAGTGGAATTACCTCTGGATTAGCATTCTCGGCAGAATATTTTAAATGGTTAATTTGAACAAGCAGTCTATGTGTTTATTCTGCTATTTTTTTCTGGTAATGCCAATGATAATCAACTCTCATTTACAATGATGACTAGCACCCATTAAAAAAGACTGGGAGACCCCTTTACATACAGCAGGTGGGGCAATCTGGCAATCAGTGGATCAACCTAAGTGAAATACCTTGCTTACAGCTAAAACATCCCACCCAGGATCTTGAAGACATTTTCTGCTGATTCACAGTTAGCTCCATATGTCCGCTAGGGCACTATTTCATTAGTGGCTTGTTTCTTGAGAACCTACAGGCTTCTGAAGTCACCTGAAGAGACAACTTTTCCTTCCTCAATCAAGAAATATTCGTTAATGACTATTAGCAGGGCTTTCTTGATTAAGGTCAATTTTTTTTCTTCTTAAATTTGTTTTGCTTTGTCATATGAGTTGTTGGAAGTTATTATCCCCAGTATAAAGTCAATATTCCATGAGTTCTGCCTCTTTAGTTTTGGTTACTGTAAACTCTCACACAGATGTCCATTTATGCTGCCTGACACAATCAAATTAAGAAAGCTGTTAGTATGCTTTACATAGGAAATTAAGGATTAATGAAAACATTTTAAACTGGTAAAATCTTTTAAGGAAACACATTCTTGGAAAAAAATGAAGAACCACCTGATTCTACACTGCTGTACAAAAGAAAACACAGATAGTTTGCCAGGAGCATTCCTCAATGTCAGGTTAATTTTGCTGGTGATCTTGTCAGAATACCAACATCCAACGCAATTCAGTTCACGCCTAAAAACACAAAAGAAACACCAACTCCAACCAAAGTCCGAAGAGTTAAAGAAAACAAAGCCAAACAAGAACACCGCAGACTTCCAACGAAACCAAACTGGTCCAACGTGGAGCTTCCAGACACTGGCAGGTTACGCCATTAAAAATTATCAGTTAATAGAAAAACAAGGACAACAGTAATAACGTGTGCTGCTACAAAAGTTATAACAAAACTTCACAGGTGTGGTGCGTTTGTTTCTGATTTTTGGATGGCAAGTTTGAGGTATCACGTGGGTGCAAATGGACCCCTGCCCAGCAAAGCCAGGATGGCCACAGTTGACAAGAGTCTAGCAGACGGACTCCTTTTCGGGAACAGGGAAGTACCCCTCCCGCGTAGGTTCTCCAAGGGGTTGCTGCAGGCCAGTCTCGGGCGCGAAGATGGCCAGGAGCTTCTCCTGCTCCTTCTTCGTCTTGGGAAGGTCGTCCGAGGGTCTGATCAGCTGCTGGATGCGCTGTGAGGAAAACGGAGAGGAGGGCTTTAGAAAACCCAGGGAGGGGGAAATACGCGCCGTTTTTCAAGGCCGCCATTTGACGGCAGCCGTGGGCGTGTCTCAACCAGAGTTCTCCCGGTTCCTCCCACACGTTGTGGGCTTGCGTGCTTTTGGTGGCGTTTTAAAGGGGAACTGCTGTCCCAATTGCTCAGACCGGTTAGTAAATCGCGGCAAACATGCAAACATTAATGAGTTGACGATACTGAAAAAATTTCAAACTAAGCACAAAATCATGAACTTTGTGAAAGTGCTGTAAGTCGCCATGTTGTTGGAAAGCCCTGGTCTCGCCTCGGGTGAGAGCAAGAGTTTGTGAGAAGTGTGACGTGAAGCGGCCCTTCCTGCTCATTAGTCACTCTAATAGGAGCACACTAGGAATGCGAGGTACGAGTGAATAAGTACAGGTTGAGCAGCAGACATTTCACTGCAGAAATTTTCCAACGCGATCTGCATGCAGAGCTAACGAGTAAGTAGTATTTAACGGCAAAACCGTCGACAGAGAAATTTCTATTGGACTAAAAGAGGGGTACTGTATTCACAAGCCTGCTTGTTTACACTGTAATAAGGCCTCTTCATGTCATCGGAAGTTTAGTTGCCTTATTCTAAATCACAGAATATGGAGCTGTGCAAAGCTGAAAATTTCATTTATTTTGTGATGTAAATTGACAGTTCTACAAGTTACTACAGCATGTCCATTTTACTACTATTGCAGTTTTAAAATGCACTGCTGATTCTTTCTAACCCCCGAAATATAAAAATAGCACCTCTGAGTTCGGGATGTTTTATTGAACAGCTCTGACAAGCTCAGACTTTCACTGGGAGACCGTACAACCTATGGTTCCAGCTCTATAGTCTCCCTGGTGTAACCACTTTGCCACTGGAGTTGACACCTAACCCTTTCTACGGTTTTTATACAACCACTATTTTCACATCTTTTTCTGGTTGCTCCTCTCTACTAAGATTATTATACAGCCCTTTCTGGGTATGCTAAGAATAAGAAGATTTTCTTATGCAACATGGCTCTTTCGTAATGCACATTACTTGTCTTATCATAGTTGCTTCCTCATCAACAGGGCCAACGCCTCAGACTACACTGTTTTTGCTGACTCCATCAAAGCAGGACTTACACTTCAGATTCATCTTATCGGTTCCTTCCCTGTCCAATAGGATTTCAACACAGAGTCTGTATGTTTAGCAGCCAACTTTATCCAAATAACTTTCATAAAATACCTCCTACTTCTAAATATGCACCGATAAACTGGATAATAAACCTCTTTGGGATTATAAAATAAGATATAAGATGCTGTCTATCTTTCCATTTAAAAGGGAGGAAATTTGTCTTTGGCATCACAATACAAAACAACAAATAATGGCACTCAACATAAAAAAATATGAAAACAAACAATAGCTCTAGACATGTGACAATATACACACATCTCACACATCGCCCATATTACACTACCTTCACATACTGTATAAACCGATAGCTCTGTACAGGAAATTTAGCTGTGTTTCATATATCGACTACACGGGTGAAAAAGGATTTCTTCTATACCTTTTTCTTGGTCCCGACTTTTTGAAACATTATACCAGAAGGTAGCAGTTGGAAATGGGGATTAAGGGGATGGGAAGGGTCATCAACGACCAGCTGATCTTTCTTTTTCCAACTTGAAATAAAATACAGCTCTTTAATCTGTTTCTCTGGACGACAATTTATTTTACTAGCAATATTAACAATTCTGGCCCATGGTACTTTACTCTTAAGACTCAGGCTGCCATACCACGCCCTGATACCAAAAATAAGCAGCTTTCTACTAACGCTCTATAAACTCTTGCTAAAATGTTTTGACTCACCCCAAACCCCTTAGCAAAAATATATGCTAACTACCTTTCTTAATTAATTGGTATTCTCTGCCAAGTTTAAAATGTTATCTATTACTGTTCCTCAGTATCTAAGACACTGGCCAACCTCCTCAAGCTGATTAATAAGGGGAAGAGGCTGAGAATATAAGTTACTACTATCACAGGTAGCCAGTTCTTTGGTTTTATCTACATTAATATGAAGCATGCTTGACTGACACCACCTTTCCAGTTCACTTGTCCGTTCAAAGTCATTCTCCACTACTCTTATTGTGCTTTTGTTCAATTACGTGGTGTAGCAGCACTAACAGCGTGACTCTCATTTATTCCCAAAAATAAACTCCACTCGCATCTCTCCTCAATGGATCCACAGTCTGTCTTGATTGGGTCTCTGACTGGTCATCTACTTACAGAGCTGTCCTCCTATCGTTGCTCTGTAAAGCCTCTGCCAGCTACTCCTCACATAGTGCAGAAGACAATCCTGCTTTTTAACCCAACTCTCGTACTGGAGAATTTTCTCACTCGGTTGCTGCCTCTACTAATCGAGGTTCCTTCCCATGAATTCTCAAGCTCGCCTCTGCTCACAGCTGTTTCCCAAGCCAATAGCCCGCCGCAGTTTTAAGCGGGAATATGCCTTTTCCCACGCTTCTTGATCTTTGACTCTGCGTTTTTGGAGGGTCTTTCATTTTCTTTTCCTCCGAAACAGCATTTGTCAGAGCCTGACAGAGCCCTATTCAACCTGGATGGTCCTATTTGGCCATTTTTCAACACAGCCATAAAAAAAAAAAACTGTTTCTCTTGCACAGCCTTGACTTCTCTGACAAGGAAGCAGTCGCTATCACGATTCTGTCTTCTGAGTGTACAGTAGGTGCACAGAGAGGATCTCCTCTCTGGGAGCCTCCTAAATACTCTTAGTGAAAGGAGAAGCACCTGAGTGGTGATTTATTTTCAAGTGAGGTATTTCTTTCACTGAATTCTCATCCATAAACGATCCTTTTACATCCATAAACATGTGTGCCTTAATGTGGGGCCACAAGTCTCTTTATGACACTGTCTTGCCACACTAAGGCAAAGACAAAAGCATTATTTTCTCATCCTGAATGAAATACGTAATTATTTTTAAACATGATGCACGTGTTAATGTAATGTTTGAATGAATAAACTGATCGATGGAAAACCTCTTTTTAGATTAAGTAGAATTGATGATACCACCACAATAGTCAATGAATCAGGGATAGTAGTTTCATCACATTGGTGAATGACATGCACAGAATAAGGCAGAATAAAGGAGAAATAAGTACGGCCTGTTGCTTATTTGGCTTGATAATGTTTATTCGTTTATTTTTGCTCACTTTCCCTTCTCCAAGCACGGGTGTGGTTCAATTTTGAAAAATACAGCACTTTCACAATTTTGAAATTTTGACTTTAAATATTGAAATTTCGACATCTAAAACTTGCTTAACCATGGCAATTTTTTTCGTTTGCCATACTTAAGCAAGAACGAATGTCTGGTATCGCATTTAAATCTATACTTCTGTATATATTTCTTCTTAACACTACATTCACAAAATATTTTGATACTCTTTTCTAAACCTTTCTGAGTGACATGGTATTTCAAGGGTCATTTTTATGCTCAAAGACATGAGCCATGGGATCATCAATCATGTTTCTTGGAAAATGAACTACAGTAATCTCTTCAACAGATAATGAGGTGCTTGGTCAGTTTCATGCGTTAAGGATCTGCTGAGACACGTCCTGGCAATTTGACTTCGATCACATCTCTTCTTGTCCTTACCTGTCGGAAAGTGCCCTTTGTGGTGATGATTTTGAAGATAATCCACAGTGGGATACAGACCATTGAGGAGAGGGCTAAGAGCCAGCCCAGGCCATACCCCCACCATGGGTAAACATACACATTGTTGTACTTCAGAGGTGTGTACTTGATAAGGGAGAAAGCAAAAGTACCCTGGAAAAAGAGAAGAACAAGTTGTTACAAACCACTTGTTGGTAGGTTGGCTAACTTGGTCTCTTATTTGGTTTTAAGCAAAGTCCGTGCTCGCTGTTGGTGGTCGTCAGGCAGATCTTATCCCACTTTCTGTAGTGATAAATGGACAGTAGAGAGTACATAACCTCCTATCCCCACTCGAATTCCAATACTAATACGTTGCAGAGTGACCCACAACCATGCTAACTGTTTAGTTTTAGGTTAAAAAATACTGACCTCATCTACATATTATTGTCCTGAGAAAGGGAGCTGTGAGATTTGTTCATATTGACATTTTACGACGTTTTCTACCAAAATGGTTACCCCAGTTGCTCACCATCAGACACAATGGTTTCATGTTTTTTGAAAGATTATTTTTTGGCTCCTTCCTTTTGATATGAAACCTCCTGCCAGTGGATGAACTCTAGCTGTGGTTTCTCAAAAAAGCTACATACTGTACTGTATGTCTATACAGACATACTGACAAAAGGCACAGATTTCAGAGTTTCTATACCATAATTTTGATCATTTCTGAGTTCATTAAAATGCTACCCAGCACACTGACAATGGCCTTGAAGATTGGTTTTTGCTTGTTCATTAAATGTTAAACCAAGAACTGTTAGGTTGATTTTTTTTTTATTTGTTTAGCAGAAATGATCACCCACGACTGAAGATCTGTTGTCTTTTTGTTAAGCAGTTCAGAGGCATAGGTTTGTATAGCTGTACAGTAAAATTGAGCCAAGCTAAAGAGCATACTCACAAAACAGACTGCAGGGGTGAAAAACAGCCAGCAGTACTTAATCACCGAACTGGGCCGGTAACCAATCATGTCCTCAATGTTGTCATAGAAACGGTCTGCACCTAAAAACAAGAAAAAGTAAATGTATTAGAACGACACAACCAAATTATGACACATTTTTTTTAATTGTTAATAATAGAGTGAAAGATAAAACTGTGAATTAATACAATGCATATTTTAACTTGAATGAACTGTAAATACAGGGTGATTCTATTAATTAATACAATTTTTTTCTGTAACATCCCCAAAGGAATCAGAAGAGGTACTACTCTCCTGAAAACTGCCAGGCCAAATGCACGTCACCACTAATTTATCCTTGTAGAGGAGATACAGTACATCTGTAATACAGTACATCTGGGATAATGTCACCCCTTCAAAACCACGGACTCAAGGGAGCATTTTGGTTGGGTTTTATAAATTGATGTATACCTAATTATCAAGGCTAGTGAAAGTGTTATATACTGAGATAACCTGCAGCATTAATGCTGGGCTCCAATATTTCCTCCTTCAAAACAAAAAGAGCAGAATTTGTGTTCTGCCCAGGAAAAATGTCCAAAAGTGATGTTTTACTTCCTTTTACCATTGCATAAGCTTAAATAGCCATACAGGCGGGTGGGATATAAGGAGATGGCTTTTAAAATCACTGCAGCAAACATAAGGGCACCGATAACTTCAAGAAAAAAGAACTCAGGTGACACAAGGCAGTGTTCAGTCAGCCGTGAGACAGGATTGTGGGACATTTCCTGCCACATACTGCGTTTGAGCACATGAGTTGCGCAGTAATTTAAACTATCATGTTTCACAGGGCACAAGTGGAGCGGGAAGCTCAGATTTCCCCCTTGAAAATAATTCAGTTTGCTCTAATAATTTTTTTTTACACATTCCCACATAGTGCAACGCAGCGAAACACTCACCATAAACCCACGCAATGCACACAGTTTCAAAAATTGCCACAAAGAGGAGACACATCCCACTAGCTGCATAGTAATCAAATAACTGGAAGACATACATTCCTCCCTGCAAAGAGAATCACACATCAGTGTAGCAGTAGCAGGAATTGCAAAAGAAATCCAACATACATACTGTAGATATTGGGCAATAAAATGGAATAACTTTAATTGCTGTAGCATAATCCCCTATGGTTCTCAGTACTGGGTCTGGAGTACTCCTGTTTATGTTGGTTTTTGATGCATCTGGGCCCTTAATCACCTGTGCTATTTGCTCTGCTTGCTTGTTTGTTTAAGCAAGGTTTTATTTTGCACCCAAGCCTCAGTTTCAAAAATACTCGAGTCTAGTGCCTCTCTGTCCTGGCTCTGAGTAACTTCCAGGCATTTTCTTAACCACAGGCAAATTTGTTCCACTATTCCCTTTGAGGCCTTTTTCCATTTTCCTTTTAATCTCTTAAAGAGCTGAAGGAGATCTGTAACTGGTAGAAACCCCTGTAGTAATTAGCGGGTTTAAGGACTGCTGCCGCTCCGGAGTGTTAGCTGAAATATAACAAATTGGGTTTAAGCAGGAGGAAAATCATTGACTCTCTGGGAGCTGTCTGATACGGTGTCATTCATACCTGTTGCTGTTCGTCACGGACTGATCATCTATTAAGAGCTGTTTAAGGCAAAGGCATAATTTGCAAGTAAAGGAGAGACTGTTAAAGTTTGGTGTGCAGAGCTCGTTGTTTACACTGTACCTTAACTACAATGTTTTTGAAACCACTAAGTGCTGAGCAAGCAGGCAGTTTCAGACACTAATTAGCACTTGTGATTAAGGGCCCAGCTGGAACAAAACTCAGCAGACACACGGTCACTACTGGACCAGGATGGATGAATACAATGTAACCAGAAAAACTAGGCTTCCAGACGTTTCCATCATTTTACAGCAGACATTTCTAAATTCAGCAGCAATTCACTTTTAAAAAATGCATTTCGGGAGATAATAATACGTCAACAAGTAATGTGCTTTTCTCAAATGAAACTAAGCCTCAAGAATAGGTGATGAAGTTTTCCGAAATGATCATCAATGAACTCCATTATACATTAACACCCCCAAAGTTACTATACATGACACGAAACTCAAAAAGCAGCTTTTAGCGTATTTTGCAACGTAGAGAGAAGTCAGAACAATTAGGGAGAAGCTCACAGGGACACAGACTACCTCTTGCCTTATTTATGCTTGGAGGCAAATAGCTTCTCTAGTAGAGGCAAGCAGGACCCTACCTCAGTGAGCATGATGAGGCCCATGATGAAGGACACCACAGCCACGGCTAAGATGAAGAGCTCTCTCCGGTGCCTGCGGCGGAAGACTGATGGGTACATGTCCACCATTGCCGTGACCAGACTCTCCACGCACACGAACTGCGTAAGGGTACCAAACAGAGGGATGAGCTCCATCGCCACACGCAGGATGAACACAAAGTGAGTCCATGCCTTCGACTGCTAATGACGCGCTCAGAATGTACCACTTATCGGTCAAGGGAAGCAAGCAAGGGGTCACTCCCAGGAGGCTCTCCATGCCTGCTGTCAGACTGCACTTGCGCAGAGCGTCTTCCCAAGATGCACAGCATTTTTTGAAGGTGAGCTTTGGACAAGCGGCGGGGTTCTGCGCTCAATGTGGGCTTTAGGTAACTGCCTGTGAGGGACGTGCATACTTTGTTGTTGAACCCACCTCCCCTCAAAGACTTGATTGGTTATTCTGTCCCTTTCTTTGTGGCTATCTGATGGACTGCTGTCCCATTCAGAAGGCGAGCAGTTGTGTGCTTTCAGTCCTTTCCTTGAGCCCTGTGTTTTTTGGGGCAGGTTCTGACTTGACGTGAACCTCACTGGGATAAGTGACATTCTGTAGATGGATGGATGCATTTCACTCCCATTAGGTAAACCGAGGAGCTCGGGCGTCAGCCTTAACTTAATGTCACGAAGACGGCTGCTACAGTTTGAGTGATGTTAGCAATACCCTAAAACAGTATCCACACTGAAAAACATAAGAATTACATAATTCAGAATTCAGAATTCAGAATTAGATAATTCACGTTGAAATTGTGAGTATGCCCAACTTTAAAAAAAAACCTTAACGTCTTAAATGAAAGAATCTATGGCTTTAAAGCCAGCAAAATGAACAAGCACGAGCAGTGAGGTGAAATTAGGAAAAGTATCAAGGACAAATATATCACGTCCGAAAAAAATGCCTCATGGGCACCTGGTGGGCATCTCACCTGGCTGTCGAGCCCCAGCAAAACAATCATGATGAAGAAGAAGCAGGCCCAGACGGGGGAGAAAGGCATCATGGAGACAGCCCGAGGATAGGCGATGAAGGCCAGACCGGGACCTGGGCAGAGGAAAAGCAGGAAGGATACAGCTGCAGTCATCAAAAAGAAAATGGCCCCAGAACTATCCTGCCTTTGATCTGGGCCGTTCAGCATGAGGATACCCTGGGAGTTAGTGGTTGCAAGGAGAGCCCATCCCAGAATGAACAGGAGTCCCGTTCTGTCATTACGTGTGCTTGGGGAAATAAATAGGATTTTACGCATCAGTGGACCTATCCAATAACTGAACTCTTAGACACTTGAAAACAGTTTTATCTTGGATGCGACAGAGTCAGGGCATCAGCTTTTAAAGTGTGAAGATTGCTTTATTCAATTAGTTGATCTTGAGTTACAGTATTCTTGCAGTCAGAAGAGATATTTCAATGTTTTGCTCTTCAACACCTTTCAGAGTGTTTCCATAAGAAGACTCGTAGTTTGTACCACGACAAAGCAATATTTCAACGGTTATATTTTATGTATATGTAGGCAGTAGTGCAGCATGGCCATTAACAAAACATGCAGTGTCTGAGCTCAATTGTCAAGGAGTTTTTTGGTTTCCCTTCCTAGTTCTAACTCACAAGATGTTCCCATGGAATTCTTTCTTAATCTGCAATTTCCTCAAGAAGATAAGTGGCTGAACACACTAAGATAAGGTCTAAAATATCTGCCGGATAACCCAAGTTAATGCCACCGTTATCCTTTCTGTATCTTCATGGGCCACCAGACAGTTCAACGTGTCACTGTTTTTAATAGATTCCAATTCTGTGTTTTTTCTTTCGGGTGACTGCTTACCAGATTCAGCAACTTCTGAAATTGGCACTTGCTGTTCATAAGACATGAAGCCCAAGATCGAGAAGATAGCAAACCCAGCGACAAAGCTTGTTCCACTGTTTAAAAAGCACAGGGCTAGGCAGTCTCTGTAATAAACAAGAAATTGGTTCACTTACATAAGAAAACCCACGGAGAATGTTTAAAAACATCTACTGTATAACATGCTAGTGATATTTAAATGTTCTAAATGTATACAGAACACCCTATGCTAAAATGTAATTTAAGTGGTAGGTAATATAATTAAAATGATGTCAGGACATTTGTCAGTGAAGAAAACAAAGTGCTGAAATCTCAGCAGTTAAGTTTAACATTGCTCATTCAACTGCTCAGATCGACCAAATGTTGTACAAATAGTGACAATGAGTCATGGACAAAGAATCATTTGAAGCTAATGAAGCTATTATAGTATTTGCATTTAATTCTAATTTTCTGACAAATGAGAGAGTGAAATTAGACTTATATCCCGTGTGTAATGATGTGGATGTTTTGCAGTCTAAGTCAGCACTCCAAACACCACTATTAAGATTTTGTGTTTTGTTTTCCATAAAACAGAATGGACGTGACCTATGCAATCCTAGGTGAGGGGCATTAAAAGACTCCATCTCTGTGTTGTGCGTTTTCCAAGTCTCCTACTTGTAGCAGTTGTTGCTGTATTTATTGTAGCTCCCCAGAGCAGTGAGACACCCCAGACAAATGGCATAGGAGAAGAAAATTTGAGTCCCTGCATCCATCCACACCTGAAAAATCAAGCAAAGAAGAACATGTGATTGTGCTCAGATGGCAACCCTCCTTTAGTTGTTTGTTTGGCTATGTTTTGCGTATGCATGTGTATATTGTGTCTCCAAGTAGGAGCCAGACAGAATAGCATTGGGAATTTCAATACACTTCCACAAAGCTGCAGAGAAATAGACAGAGCACTCATTTTAAGGGAACAAAAGAGTAGTTCAAGCTCCAGGCCCTTCAAACCTTGGTCCTTTATCAAAACTCTGTCATGAACAATACTGAGCTGTGCAGGATTTCCTAAGACTGAGAATAGGTGTTTTCAAATAGAGGGATACCATATTACGTCACCTCTGCAGACTGATGGACAAATGCGTTACTTGAAAGAAACTTTCGCTGTTTCGCTAAAGTGGTATTAAAAGACTTTTGCACATTTCCAGTAATTCTACTTGATATTTTCTAAACAATTACACTTCTTTAAATACCCCCAAGTGAATACTAGGCATCGGAACATAACCCCCGTTGCACAGGGTGCTAAACGTAGCTGCAAGGTCTTTCTGCTCTGCAGATGGACTTCCAGGTGGACAAAGGCCACTTGTCCTGACTTTGAACTCATCCCTCCACTTTCAGCATTACAGTACCAAGAGCCCTTGGGAACACTAGCACGACTGCGCAAACAAATGAAACAAACCACCAATTATTTGCTCCTTTTCAAAGACAAGAGGCGATTCCAAGAAATCTCACAGGCTGTGCACATTACTATGACAGAACTGCCTTTTTTTTCCCCATATACAAAACCTGGCTTCCCGTGCTCCCCACCGTACTGAGCCAAACAGGGTTTTTCCACTGGGTGTCTGCAGTCTGGACTACATGAGCAGTGCCTTTGTTTTCCCGACTTCTGCATTGAGATGCTGAAGAGACAGCACATGTTCACACCAGTGACTGCGAGTGAGCTATGCTTCAACCCCAAAATGAAAGCTCTAAGAATTAAAAACTAATTGAACTATCCTTGTAACACCAATATTATCATCAGTACTTCCTGCTGTACTTCCTCCCAGTTTGTAAAAAATGTCAGTTAGTAATCAATACAGTAGTAGTGTGCAGTCTGACCAAGGCCCAACTGTCAAGCTATTCACAGTCTGACGCACTGCAAGTTCCACTGTGCTGTATAGAAGAATGAGCACTGATTGGAGGACCAGAACATCTCTTACTGCTGTCACTACAAGCCTGCAGATGCCATTAGGACTCTGGAGTAGCTATTGTGCAGTTAACTATAACAAAGTCTCAGTAAACCATGAAAAGACCACACCAGCTCTGTTTTGGACCAAGACTTGGGGAATCCCAGTCAGATAATGACACTGCTCAGGGTCAAACCAGTAATGTCCAGATTATAGGGCTCTGCTTTCTCTCTGAGTGAGCAAGTTCAAAGAATGAGCCACCTGAATCTCCGTTTCTGTATCCCATTTTAAAGTGTAAGGAAGCATGGGACAGCATTTACATCTTATAGAAGTTTAATTGGAATTTAGAACCAGTCTGCTAGACATAAAAATCATTCTTCCCATTATATGCACTGAAGATTACGAAGGAGCAGACTCTGAACAATTACAGGCACATTGGTGCAAGAGATAACATCAGTTTCTGTCACAAAAAAATATGTTATGTCATTATGCCAATGTGCAACACAATCATAAATGGTGTTGTCTCTATGAATTTTGTTAATGTACAAGAAATCTGAAATCAGTTCTAGGCTGGTATAGGCGTATAGCTTTGTTCTACAAAAGAAACATTAAGAGACCAGTTAAGATTTGTGAACACTCAGCATAACACAAAGTACAGTATATCTGGGATTTGAAAAGACTGTTCAGAAGATATTTATGAAAGGATTAATATTATGCTAAAACAAGCAATTAACCATTAATTAACTCTTACTAAGTAAAAAAGAAAATGAAGATAGCATGACAGTGCTGTCACTGAAATCAGTACCATTTAAAGAAACAAGGGCAACATCACTGATATCAATCAAAACGACTCATCACATTTAAGAAAGAGCATATACAGCCCCTGGACATATTCTCTGTGAGCGTAGGACTGCAAAATAACAAGGACAGCAGTCAAGACATAGAGTCACATAAGAAAATTCAAAGGATAGAAGACCAAGTCACCAAGTCACCAGCAGCTATTGGGCAAAACCATCTCCCATGGTAATCATAGACAATTTTGTTTGAGTATTTCTATTCTCTGGGGATTAAAATCCAATCCAGTCTGGAAATCCAAGTAAAGCAAGATATTCTCCTGGAAAAATGCAAGTATAAAGCACTGGGCCCTTTTTCTATAAAAGCCTCTCGGTTAACTTCATGTTGAGTGTCTCAAAGTACACTCACTTCAGCAAGCAGCACATAACGTACCAGATAATTGCACTGTATCCCATTGCTGACCACCCTGCTGTCTGGAGGCTGACAGAACTCACGCAGAGAGGGACGGCAAGTTCTGGAACACTGCCCAACAAAGGCAAAGGTTGCAGCTGAAAAAGCTCTGCACCAAGTTTGTTTCCTGTGTTCCTTAGGATCCTGCTATTTTGGACATCAAACATCAGTCACCCTCAGTCGATTTCGTTTGCTCTGAAGTGCCACGTGCTCAGCCTACACCACAATGAAAGAATTAGAGAGGGCCTCTCTCTTGGCCAACCCAAACACCAGATATGACAAAGCTGAGGTATGTGTGAGCATACAATGAAAGGACTTTGCCATTTCAGTACAATTTTCATCTCATCTACACGTCTAAATAATTCCACTCTGTGACATACTGTATACAGCACAGTAATTCCACTCAGTCTTCTCCAAAAGCAGTGTCTCTTCCACCAGCATATCCAACAACAACAAAAGTCAAGTCACTCCATTCAAAACTCTTTCATACACTCCTGTTTGCCCACCGTTCTTCAAACCTTCCAAAAGCCAACGTGTGTGAAAAAGACGAGCACCAAAAGAGAACTCAGTGCTTCCATACGGTTATCCTGAAAAGTGATCGGCACCGACCAGCTGTTGGAAACATTATACATTAAGCTTTTCCCAGTGTTTTCCTTCAGTTTTAAGGTAGAGGACAAGGAAAATTAAAAATGTTCTGTTCAGCACTTGTGTTTTGAATTGCTACAAGGGTAACGATACCAGGACATGTCTGGTCTCCTCCCAGAAAGGGTCAGTGATTATGTTCTTTTGAGCTGGGGAGTCTAAAGCAATTTTGTCCATTATTTTTTTACCACAGGAAACGTAATTCACCCATGCTGGTTGCCTTTTTATAAAGAGAAAATGCATTGACTTTTCATACTAATTTACTATAGCCCTTAAGGTATTTAATCAGACCAGCCCCAGAGCTGACATGACTCTAACGGACAGAGGTGTGAATGGGTAACTGCCTCAGCAAGTGTTCACTGAAAAAGGTTCCACACTGAAAAGGAGAAAGAAGTAATGTGTTTCAGCTGTTTGGTCTTCTTCAGGTGAAGATTAACTCAATTGGCCATTGATTCAGCAATGGGTATGACCATATTATCAAGAAGACTGGCAGCAAGAACAGGCTCCCACACAATACGATATATGTGGGTGGGCTGAAGATAGATCATTTTCAAAGAGCAACTTTCAGGACTATGGTGTCTTAAATGAAACAGCATTATGAATTAGCTATTGTTTATCTCTCTGGGTGGCATGGCGGTGCACTGGTTAGCGGCCCTGGGTTCAATTCTAGACCTGGCGTGTTATATATGTTCTCCATGTGGTCACATAGTTTACCTCACATAGTCCATAAGTCCATAAGTATATAATGAATTGGCTTCTGGGAAAAGTGGCCCTAGGTGTTAGTGTGTGCATATCTATGTCTCTCTCTGTGTGTGCCTTGAGATGGACTGGCGTCCCGTCCAGGGTGTATCCTGCCTTGCGCTCGTTGCTTGCTGGGATAGTCTCCACGACACTGAATTGAAAGAAGCAGAAGATAGATGGAATAGCTTTATTTCAAAATATTAGAAAGCAGGAAGAAAGGGGGCATAACCCTTTGGTATTTTGTTTTTAATACATATCAGGTAAACAAAAACACAACTTTCTCTTCTTCAAAAGAATGTGCCTTCCTAGGAGTAACAGAGGGGGCATTTATTTGCTCTAAGATACACTGAACTGAAAGCGATAGCAGTGAAAATAAACGACTGAAACACCAGGGAGATGTGGGAGTCAGTCAGTCAATTGGCCCCCGATGGAAACAATATTTTTCTACACTGTGGGACCTTCCTCCCCTGTGGGCTGCCAGGCAGAGTTACAGATGGACCTGGTCAATCTGTCCCAGCTGGCCACACAATGAATCTCACAGCCAGGTCTTGCGCTAGGAAGACCTTTACCACTGAGCAAAACACTGGGACCACAGAGACGAAAGAGAAAGAGCACATATTTGAAAAGCTAGCCCCCTCGCTGGGTCACATCTGCCCAAAGCCGAGACAGGAATCTAAGAGCCTTTCTCCATGAAAAAGAAACAGGACAACCACGTCACTGGAGCAGTTTATTCCAATTCCGGCAGCAACCCAAGCTGCAGTTGCCTTTACAGAGCTGATATCCACTCTTTCCTTGTCAGAACCATTTTTTTTACATGACATAAATGACAACACGAGACGCTTTTGCTGTCAAGCGTGGAAACAGTTTGCACAATGAGGGAAAGCGGTCCTCACCTGAGGGTCAGCCAGACGTCCAAGGTCTGGGTAAAGGTAGAACTTGATTCCCTCAGCAGCCCCGGGCAGAGTCACACCTCGAATCAGGAGGATGATCAGCATGAAGTAGGGAAAGGTAGCAGTGAAGTACACCACCTGGAGGACAGCGCATACATTACAGGTTGAGATGAGATCTGCTCCTGTCTC